TTTGTGATAATAACTACCAGATGAATGCAGTAGCTACTTAGTACTCAGTTTCAATATTCAGAATGACAATTTAATGACAAATACGACTCAAACTTTTCAACCTGAATGCCCAACTATCTGAGAAGCCCTCCGTGGAACCGAAAGAACCACAATTGAATGAGTTTTGATAATAAGAGAGAGAAGAGAGTCCCCGTTACCCCCATTTTGATTTAAATCGCAAACGCGTGTTTAATTAAATTGTCTTTATTGATTCACAATCTGACAATGCAACATAAATCATTATCTTTGTCTTCTAAGAAAGTTCAAAGTATCTTAATAAACTTTTAGCATGGCTTTATCACCATTTAGATTTATTTTTCATACCATCGCTAAACAAAGCAGGATATATTATACTTCCTCTTGGGATCAAACTTGGAAAGATTAGATTGTAATAGTTTTTATTTTTTAAACAAATTTTAGAAAAGTGTAATCTATACTAAAAAGCTGTATTTATTTAATACCACTTGATAGATATATTAATAGAGATAAGAATTCAAGTTGATACTGCTTAGACTTTTAATTATTTTAAACTGTATTATAGCATCGTACACATTAAGCATGAAAAAGTCGGTATCTCTTATAAAAGCAAGATTGCTCAGTTGGACAGTATAAAGCAAGTATGATTTTAATGTTTGTAATCACTATTCTGCAAGTACAAACACAACATAAACTGGAATGCTACAGAACCCTAAACAGACAATACACACTTTTAGTTTAGCAGGAATTGAGCGATAAGCACATAGTTTAATGGGGATGACATTACCCACGTCTATTATCACTGTACAACACTATTTCAGCCTGCGTAGTCTGCAAAGGAACAAGTAATAGGTTTATTCCATGCTGAAAAGAAGCCTTCTTCAGATGTGAGGGTCTTCAGCAAAAAATGAAACACTAAAGTGTAATGTAGGCTCTGAATGGGTTAAACTTTGATTTGGGCTTGCCAGTGTGGTGACGTCACTGTCTTTCATATGAAATCCTGCTTGAATCCTGATAAACTAAAAATTAGACACAAGAAGAGAATTATTGGACAATGTTGTGAGGCTCTGGTGAAATTTCTCTGTGAACTGAAGAGTTAAAGTGTAAAGTGTCTCCTCCTTTTAAACTTGTTAATGCGACATGGAAGATATTACTATATTAATGATGTAGCGCTTTCGGGATCACGTGGGTTTGCGCCTTACACCCTGCGGTACCGCTGTGTACATACAGTATGAACATGTTGTGATATTTAGTAATATAAAAAATGTCAATATAGTGTCCATAATATTTGCTATTTTAGTTTTTCAAAGAAAACTCATAGCGATAGCTGGATTTGAACACCCAACCTTACGTCAATCAGTTAGTCACTTAACCCGTCACACCACAGAGGCACTGACGCAGCAGTCTGGTGAAACAGCCATACAAATATCAATAGAAAGTCTTGTACTACTGCTTGTGGTACAGTACCTGAATATAATTATATCGTTATTAATTTCTTTAGATATGCGATTCCATCTTATATTTCCTATTAATCCAATTCTAAAAGTATGCTTTTGTCTACTCCGATAACGAGTGTATTCGCAGAAAATGTTAAAACGATCACTTTTCACAAAGTATATAAACGTACAGTGATATGGTCAGAAGGAGCACGTAAAAACGTTTCCGAAATAACCATGTGTAAGACTTTGATGCTTAAAATGTTAAGGGAGAAATGGAATACTGGTGTGTATTTTTTCTTTAAACTACCAATGCCAGCAATATACAGTTTCCATAATATGTTTATGTTCCTAAATTGATATCATTTATGACCTTCAGATGCGTTATGCTCCTTTTATGCTCAGTGACTAAAATGAGATTAAATGATTAAATCTTTCCACTGCCGACCAATGCACCACAAGTGCCCCAGTTGGTCATTTTGGCCAGCCAATCACGTACCCCGGTACAACGCGGTATGATGTATTGAGTTGCGTGCAGTACTGGTTTGTACCGCACTCTTTGAATCTATATAAAGATCAGACAAATTAATTAATTTTTACTCCAATTATGGAAAAACCGAAAACAAAATCATGCTTGGTTAATGAGAGACCTATCATTAACAGGGCATGCGCTTCTTTCAAAAGCAGAAGGAATATCGTGGTCAGTATATACTGCACTGGCATTAGAGGTACCCCAATCTGTAATAAATAACCTTAATAAACTTCTATATGATTTTATCTGGAAAAATAAATATCACTATCTGAAAAAAAAACCCAACTAGTACTAATAAACAGGATCAAGGTTACCTACATCTTCTGGATTTTAAACCTTCAAATACAGTTTTTAAAATTAATTGGAATAACAATTATCTAAAAATATAGACAGTTTTTGAAATGTGATCCCTAAATTTGTCTGTGAGAAGGTGGGCAGACTTCAGTTTTTACTGAAATGCAATTTTGATATTAACAAGATCCCTATTAAGTTATCCAATTTTCATAAACAAGTACTTATACCTTGGACACTGGCCTATAAACACATTTCCCCATAGACATGTTGTATTTAGAACAACAATGATATACATTAGATTTTTTTTTTCAAAGATGGTTCAATAATGGTATTATACTGGTGAGACAATTGCTAATTGAGAATGACAAATTATCTTTTGTAGAATTTTTGGAGACCTTCAAGATTTCAGTTACGCCCAAATAATATGAAATAGTGTTTGATGCTATCCCTGGGGGGGGGTTACTCTCCTTAGGGGCAATAAGGCAATAACAAAACATATACTCTAATTACTCAACCAATCAATTAACTTCTATTGTCTTAGAAGTTAAATGATTGTCTTAAATGTAACAATATTAATTGGCAGAAAGTATGGAAATGGCAAATTGGTATTGTCTTACCAATAAAATTAAATAATAGGCTCAACTTAGATGATCAATGTGTGTTTTGTAAAATAAAGAAACTTTATACCATTTGTTTTATCAATGTACTGAACCCATGGACCAAAGATTTATATTTATAAGAATAAATCTATTTTTAATTATGTGAAGATACCATATCCATAAAATGAAATGGATAAAATAAAATGTTTTGGGTTCTATGGATTACGATAGATCTTATTTTATCTTATCTTAAAATACCATATCTATAAAATGAAAAGGACAAAGTCCACTCCAGATATTAACCTGTTTAGAATGGAATAGTTAAAAATATTCAAAATGTTAAAAATAAGAAAAATAAATGAACCATTGACATATTATGTTAAATTGTTTCTGTAAATTAGTTAAGTAGCTCTGACTATTCTTATACTGTATTGTAGCGGCAACGCTTGTTAAAAAGACAGAATTAAGTGTTGCTGTGCTTTCCCAAATGAGGCCCCATCTCTCTCTTCAAGCTATTCATGCAGGCTGATTTAAAGATGTTTTCTTTTGATAAGGGA